ATAGGAACGGGACACACACAGAGCCGGGAGAAAGATGGCAGATGCAGATGATAGGCTAAGGAGATTTGCCGGGCAGCAGCGTGTCCTGAGAAATGGCTGTCCCTTGTCTATCAAGTGAAGTGTCATTTCAAACTCCAGCCATCCTCATGCAAACACAACGCCCACACTGCTATGTGGTCCCTGTCTGCTCCAGGGCTATCACTAGCAAGGCTTTATGTAGGGAGGGAGAAGCAAGGCATCGGAGAATCTGCCCTGGGCCAGGGCCTATACAGGAAGTATAGCACATATTCCTAGATTTTATTTCCTGCTGCAGCCAGCGCAGCCTGGATAGCCAAGACTGGCAGGGGGTGCCAGGTTTGAGACATGGAGGCTTTTCAGGTAGAAGAACAGCAACCTTTATTTTGCCCAGCAACTTTTATACCTCTCCTTCTGTGGAGACCCACAGCCAGAAAGAACAGAAACATCCTTGTCAATTACAGACCACAAGGAAGTTCTGCTGTCAGTCAGGGAGCGTGAGAGCAGCTGGATCACAACAATTTTCCATTTTTCTTCTTTTCGTGTGTGTGTGTGTCTGAGTGTGTGTACACCCGTGTGTGCTATGCTTTCGCATGCCCAGGCCGAAGGAAATCCTTCTCTCTCTTCCACCTCATTCCTTGAGGCTGGGTCTCAGTCACTCAGAGCTTGCCAATTCAACCAGTCTCACTAGTGAACTTGCTAGGGGATCCCATCTCTGCCTTCCCAGGCTGGAATTACAGGGATGCCATCACACCCACTTGGCATTTCCATGGGTTCCAGGGATCCGAACCTTGGTCCTCTTGGTCGAGTTGCTAGCACTCCTACTGCAGCGCCTTCACCCAAGTCTGTTTTAGATTGTTTCCAGACACCTAAAGCGTGCCAGGGACTGTATGTCCGGCACTCACGTTTGACTCTGTCCTAGGCAGTCAGTATGGGAGATACAAGTCTGGGGAGCAGAGATGCTCACCGACCTGCTCCAGCGGGGCTACTGACTGGAAAGATACATGACACAGATCCAAGTCTCTTGTTTGTGGAGAGCCTGCTACTGCATTCTGCACAGGGGAGCAGATGGAAAAGATGGCCTCACATATCAGGCAGTCAATAACTATACACCACTCAAGAATGCAGTGGAGGACGGGGTTGCGGCTAAGTGGAAGAGCCCTTGTCTAGAATACAAGGCCCTGGGTTCCATCCCCTGCGCTGCAATAAAGGCTGCTGGCGGGGGGAAGGGTCCCAGTTGTGGGTTGGGAGTGGTGGTGGTGGGGGTGTTCCCGGTCTACTAAACTAGCACAATCTATCCCGACCTGGCAGGAATGCATAACACACATGACTTTTTCCTGAGTTAGACTTGATGTTTTTTTCCCATCCTGAAACCTCCATGTCCAAGCACCCAGTTCTGCCTAGGGCAAGCAATCTGGAATACTATAATTTGCCATGTGACTCGGGGGGGGGGGGGTTCAGAGTCAAGAGGCTTCCTCAAAGCGTACCCAAGGACTCAGCATCAAACTTAGGAAAAGTGAAGCTCAGGGCACATGACAGCAGCTCGATCATGACCCCCACATGCGGTAGTCAGAGGCTCTACGATGGAGAAAATGAGTACTCTCCTGCAGACCAAGTCTTTACCGAACTCCAAAGACTAACTACACCACCAACCCCTTGATGCACATAATTCAGAAACCACTACAAAATAACACTTTCTACTCTTTCTAGAGTGGAAAGTATAATATGCTCTCCTTTGGGCAGCAAGCACGTCCGTAGAAGGCTTATTCCAGCCATTTCCAGGAAGCAAATTGGAAGAAGGGATAAAGGCTGCAGTTTCAGGTCTGGTACCCAGCAACAGTAGATGCTCAGAACATGCCTTTCCTCTTAATTTCATGAAGCCAGTAATTCCTTTCCAGTTTCCTTCTGCAAGGGGAGGCAACACAATGGGTTCTGCTATCGCCATAGCTATGTCCACGCAGGAGTCAACAACATGCAATTATCTATGCTGGAGTCCATGTTCAGTGTGGAGACAAAGGAGCGTAAGACCAGTGAGGACAGGTTTACCAAGATACACCATCCAGCACTGTCACTATGGAAATGAATACTGGTCTCTTTCAGCCCTCTTTGACACTTTGCCATGGAGAGACAGCTCTGTACTGGAGTACCCGCTGCTCTTGCAGGGGACTGACAGCTCCGTACTGGAGTACCCGCTGCTCTTGCAGGGGGCTGAAATGCAGTTCCCAGCACCCATGCTCAGTGCCTCCCAAGTGCCTGTGACGCAGCTCCAGGTCCCGACACTCTCTTCTGGCCTCTGCGGCACGTACTTCTGTGCAGTACTCATATACATAATTAAAAGAAAAAAAAACTTTAGAAAGATGCGGCTAGACAGATGGCTCAGTGGTTAATAGCACTGACTGCTCTTCCAGAGGACCAAGGTTCAATTCCCAGCACCTACATGGCTGTCCACAACAGGCTATCTGTAACTCCAGTTCCAGGGGGATTGATGCCCTCTTCTGGCCTCCAATGGGCATTGCATGCAGGTGGTGCATGTACATGTATATAGAAAAAACATTCATATGTATAAAACAATAGGATACATTTAAAAAAAAAAATATATATATATATATAGGCTAAAGAGATGGCTTAGTGGTTAAGATCACTGGATACTCTTCCAGAGGACCTGAATTCAGTTCTCAGTATCCACATTGGGCAGCTCACAACCACCTCAAAACACTCAAGCACTTATGAATAAATCTTTTTTAAAAAAAATAGTAAAAAGAGGGCATGCAGAAGGTTCTGGGGTTTGACACCCTAGTGCCAAAATGTTTAAAAGTTGTCTTATCAATAGAAATTAACATGTACTATCTTGGACAGAATCTATTTGTATCTATATCTTGAGAACAAATTATGTGTTCCTAGGTCTCTATTTTGGCAAAGAGGCAATCCCAGGCTAGGAAATTATCAAAGGTAAGCATTCAGGACCAGTTCAACTCAAGTTTCAGCTTGGAAGAAAAGAGATGCTTACAAGACGATGAAGAAACTTTACGAAAGTATTGATAAAGTAGATAAATCTGAAAAATTGCTATCCATCTGGATAGTGACTTCTAGTCACTGCCCTGGGGGCTGAGTTTAAACAGAGTGAAGAGCAGGGCTCTGGGAAAGCTGCCTCCTCCGAAGTTTCAATCAACCTTGTTAAACAAAAGCAAGACATTTTAAACTTCTCAGCTTTCCTCATATAAATGCACCTCTGTTGTCTACCATCCATGTTCTGACTTCTGCATTAGCCTGAGCCTGGTTATTGTAGTCCAGCATGGAAGCAAAGGCAGCTGAGCCCTCAGTGGTCCCATTTATCTTTTTGAGCCAAATATCACTATCCAGTTGACTGATTCCATGAATATAAAAATCATGAGGCAGACTGGAGAGATAGCTCAGTGGTTAAGAGCACTGCTGCTCTCAGCACTCGGGAGGCAGAGGCAGGCAGATCTCTGAGTTAAGAGGCCAGCCTGGTCTACAGAGCGAGTTCCAGGATAGCCAGGAATACACAAAGAAATCCTGTCTTGGAAAACAAACAAACACTGACTGCTTCTCCAGGGAACTCAGACTTAATACCTAGCACCCACACATTTTGGCAGTTCATAATCATCTCTAATTCTAGTTCTAGCTCTTCTAGCCTTTAGAGAAACCAGGCGTGCACATGGTGCAGATTTACAAGCCGGCAAAACACATAAACATAAACAACAAATTATTAAGGCATCAAGCTGAGACCGGTATATCAAAACAGATCTTTGTGAGATTAGGGGACACCTGAGTGTCAGGCCCTGCCGATGAGCCTGAGAAGACAGCAGGTGGCAGCAGTGGACTTGACATTGAACTGGAACAGGGACTTGAGCCCTGACAGGAAGGCTGCTTCAGTTTCTAAAGACCCTGCACTGCAAGATTGGGCATGTGTAAGTCAGGCAAGCAACTGGGACGGCTTTTGGGCAAGGACCATGGGATGATGGGCTGTAATGCCAGATTCCAGGGCACCTGCGTGGCCAGCCCTTCTCTCCATTGGCTGTAGGGGACAGCGCCGGAACTGACATCAGCAACCTGACTTCCTCCTCCCTGTGGAGTTTTCTAGCTCCTTTGGGCCCTGGGATAGCTGCTCCACCTCTAAGTCTACTGGAGCACAATATAAAGTTTAATTTTGTTACATCAAGGAAAGTTGGTAAAATAAGATTGCACATTGGCAAACACTGCAGCATTTGGGCATTTTATGAGGCTCCCTAGAGTTCCTTTGTATAAGCCCATTTCATGTGGACAATGGAGTACACTCTGCTCCCTGGGCACTGGAACAGAGGGTGTCTCCGGCAGACCTCAACAGTCGTAAGGCTTTTGTTCCTCATTAGGAGTGCTTTGCTTCATGGAATGTCTAAAGATTCTCCCAGCTCAACAGTTCAAGCAGCCATCAAATGGGCTGCATGCAGGTCTAGCAACTAACTTAGCATTCATTCCAACCCTAAAGGACCTTTACATCTAAACTGTCCAGATGAGAGAGTTACTGGGAAGGGACCAAAGCCACGCCATTTGATTCATCCCCACACAGTGGCGTAGCCTCAGTCACAAGCCTATGCATCCCTCTGCGTTACCATCTCCCTTGGACACACACTCTATCCGTGTAGCACTGTTCTGGCTCCAAGGGAGAGTGAACAATGACACTGGCCAGAGGGGCAATTCTTGCTGAAGGCTTAAGGGATTTGTGGGTAAAACCTCAACTCTCAGTAGGAGGTGGCGCAGGGCTTCAGCAGCATAGCCCCAGGGTGCACAGTGCCAGCACTGGAGCAGGCGCTGCTGAAGAGCAACAGGTGCAGACGGCCACCCTGACAGTTCACACTTCTCAATGTCTTCCTGACAAGGCCAACACCTCCCACCTCATCAAAAGGGAACCATCTTTACCTGTCATCACCACATTCTAAAGCTTCCTACAGGGTTTTCTTAAAGCACACGGATTTTTTTACCGTTGATAAAGAATTCAACAAGAATATATTTTATTTTTTCATAAAAGGTTAACAAAAATATATCTTTTCATTAACTTAAAAATACAGTTTCAGAAAGCAATTTCCGATTGTTATAATTCATTATACATTTTACAAACAGTAGAAGAAAGCAGTCAATACAAGTGCGTGAAGCAATGGTGTGCTCACTTCAGAAGCTTGACTCTGTCTTTCAGAACCTTAAAGGTGGGGTTCTTGTTAATTTTCTTGTTGAAGATGGCCAGGAGCTCCTCCTCTGACATGTGATGGTCGCTCATCACTGCATGGTACTGAGCTATGACCTTTACAAAGAGAAACAGATGTCAGGCGGGGAGGCCATTTGTAGATGTGCTCGGCAAATCTACCTGTCCAAGGTTCTTTGGGGATGAAGTACACTGAGAAAGGTCCAGATGTAGGTCAACAACACAAAATAAAAGAACCCCAGAAGTTAGTCACACAAGCAAAGACCCAGCAGCTGCCCAGGTGTGCACAAAACTGCATCTCACACAGGACTACAGAATATTTTATTAAAAAAAGGGGGTGTGTGTGGGGGGGATGGCAAGATAGCTCAATGGAAGGGACATTCATGTGCTCTCTGTCTCTCAGGTAAATAAATGCAATAAAGCTTTTTTTTTTTTTTGGAAAAAGCAATGGCAACCATTTATATATTTATATCAGCAAAAGAGAGCAAAGTGCCTGGAAAAATCACTTCTGGTCATTTCCAATACAGTCAACTGTAGGTAATGCATGCAGTCTTTAGACAGGTCTAGAGTCAGAGAGCTACCCTGGCTTGGTTGCAGGATGAATGGGTTTGTGGAAGTAGGTGTGAATGTTTGTCCCAGTGTTTTCAGGTTAAACAACACACATGTACACTTTAAAACAACTCCTCCCCAGCTATCCCATGCCTTCTTTGTTGCAGGATGTACCTTTTTCTTTAACTTCTTGACTGATATCTCATTGTCTGGAGCCTGTTTCAGAACGGCTTTAATGGTCCCCTTCCAGTTGAATTTACCTACAATGCAAAGAATGATGCATAAGGCTCTTTGTTTTGTCTTGTCATCCAAAGAGCAAAGAAAAAACGTTCCATAGTTGCATGCTTCCTGGGAAATGACATCACTCTCCCACGAATAAAACACCAAGTCCTTCACTAGCTCAGTAAGAGGGGCCTCTAGGGACCAACTGCACGTTGGAGCGATGTACTCAGTGAGGAGAGATGGTCCTCAGAGTGTCATGGTAGGGACAGTCTCCTAGGAGAAAGGATCGACAGGCAGAACTGAGCATCCACAGAGAGCCTGTGGTACAGAAGATGCAGCTGAGCAGCTCAGCCTGTTCCTGCTTTTCCTGCTAGGCCCAATTCTCAACTGAATGCCAGACTCAGACCTAAGACAACATGGAAAGGCGGTGAGAGACAGACTGGCAGTGTCTCAGGGCCTGCCATGGGACAGACTCTTTTGTTCCACAGTCTAGATTTGGAGTCAAGAAAGCCACCAGGTAAAAGTTAGACCAGCCCACACCTACAGATAAGGAGCAAAGAAAAGGGTAGGCCTGGCTTGCCACCAACACTGACAGCACAACCATTAACTCTAGGCTAGTGCCACAGCCTGTGTTCAACTGGTGACCACTGTTGGTCAAGGTCGAGTTGGGAGGCAGAATCCTGCCTTTCAAAGGCTGTGGCAGGGACAGGACAGTGCCAGAGATGAACAAGAAATCTGAGCTTTTGCCCATATTGGTGGGTAATGAGAAAGAAGTTGCCTAGATATGGTGACAGGGGAGGCCACAAGAGGAATCCCTTTGGCTGTGACAAGGAACAGGGAACTTGGGACTTCCTACCTCTACCTGGCAGCAGAAACATGCACCACCTTAAGGTCTGGAGAGAAAACTAGGAAAGCAGGAAGTAGTAGGCTATAGGCACAGGCCAGAAATCCCAACTTCTTGGAGGTTTGGCAGGAGGATCACAAATTCAAGGTCAGTTAGCCTGGCATACAGAGAAGGTCAAGGCCAGCCCAGATAACTTTAGTGATACTTTTGTCCCAAAATAATACAAAAGGCTTAGATGCATCTCAGTGATGCACTGTTTGCTTAGCACAGACAAGGCTCAGTGTGTGTGTGTGTGTATGGGGGGAGAGATGTAGAAGGGTATGGTGGACCACACCTTTAATCTCAGCACTCAGAGGCAGAGGCAGGCAGATCTCTGTGAGCTGAAGGCCAGCCTGGTCTACAGAGTGAGTTCCAGAACAGCCAGGGATAAAAAGAGAAACACTGTCTCAAAAACAAAACAAAACATATATATATATATATATATATATATATATATATATATATATATATATATATATAACACATATGATATATAAAGAAGTTTCAAGTTATAATTTTGAGAAAACAAAAACCCAAAATCCAACCAGAAAAGGGACAGAAGGCCAATAAAAAACAACTTAATCCTTAAAAGCCTTCAGTCTACAAAGTCGGAGAGGCGTCAAGAGACCTAAGTTTGGGCAGTCACTGAACCCTCACCAATGGCTCTAACTCCCATCTTGGCTCATTTCTATAGGCAGGAGAGGGTGGGAGTATACATGGCAAGTGTGGATTTGCCACTTCACAACAGAACTTCCAGCTTCATGAGGCAGGAGCTTTCTTTGTGTGAGAGGTGGTAGTTAAGAGGAGACCCACAGTCTTGGATCCTGACAGTGTGTGTGTGTGTGTGTGTGTGTGTGTGTGTGTGTGTGTGTGTATGAGAGAGAGGTGGCCATGGAACTTCACGCAGGGAGACACTAGGAACAAACCCAGAGGCTGAGAAGCAGCAGCTACAACTGCCCGGACCTCAGGTCATCTCACAGGAGGGGGGGGGGGGCTAGACAAGACACACAGGGAAGGTGGGAACAGAACAAGCCTTGGGAAACCACACTGGGCTCACTGCCAACTTAAGGGCAATATTACTGCTATGGTTTGGAACCATAGTGCCCCCTAAAGACTGGGACCCAGTTTGGTGCCACTGAGAATATTAGTAACCCTGACAGTGTGGGACACTAGTCTATCTTTGGGTCACTGCAGAATTGACCTGTAAGAGGCTGTGGGACGCTTTTGGCCTTTTGAGCAGCAGGGCCCTACCACAGACCCCAAATCAACAGGACTGGTGACCATGAGCCAAAATTATTGGTTTTATAGTTTGATCATTGTTGCAGCAATGAATGATGGCCAACATATCTATATATTCAATCCAGATATCCCCCTTTTCCTTAAGAGAGGATGGAGGCACTGTGGTACCAACCCATACACCTTAGTTGTGCCTCTAATGGGCATGACCCTGCAAGGTGGTGCCTGGCCTACCCTTGGCAGGAGCATCTTTTTCCTACCCACACAGAATATACACAGCCAGTGAGTGGTACCTTTTGCTGGAACCTCATGGTCCTTGGCCTCTCCCTCCTCAGGCTGTCCTGGCAACTTCATCTTTTTTTTCTTGGACTCATCTGTTAGAGAAGCAAAAAGGTTTAGCTGGTTCCAGTTACAAAAGCCCAGCATGGCATAGGCATGAGAGCTCCCTCACCACACCCGGCTTAGCAGGTTGTTCTCATGCTTGCTGGAAATGAGCAATAAAAGGCTGAAGGGAGGTCAGCTGGACCCCTAGAGCCTCTGCCCTTCTCCATACCTGGCTCAGAATGTGAGACCTAACACATTTCCCTGTACCCACTCACAGCCTCACTGAGAACCCAGTGTGTGGGCTGAGCACACACCTTCTGAGTGTTTTCGCCGCTTCTGTTTTCCTTTCCCTGTCTTGATCTGCCCCTCATCAGCATTTTCACCAGGGGCCCCATTTCTGTCTGCATCCTCTTCTGAGGCCTGCCCACCCCGGGCCTTCTTCTTTTCTGGCGGGCCATCAGCCTCTGCGGTCTCCTCCCCACCAGCCTCCTGTCCTGCCTCCTGGCCCTTTTTGCGCTTTTTTGACTTCTGGCCCCTCAGGTTTTCCTGTTGGTTTTCTGACTTCAGCTCTTTCTTCTCTTTCTTTCTATTCTTCTGTCGTTCCTCCTTCCTTTCTCTTTTATTTTTCTTTGCCTCTGCTTTTTCTTCCGTGGTGCCATTTGTTTCCTCAGGTGGAACCTTAGCGGGGATCTCTGCATGAGGCTTGGCCACATTGCTGGGTGGTTGCTGATCTTGCTCCTTATGAAATAAATAAGAATTATCTAAATATCTGCCACACCTACTGTCCATACTATACTGTTTATGACTGTGACACCAGCATCTAAAATTTAGCAATACAAGGAAGAAAGCACCCCCAAGTTCATACCTCATTCTCGATCCTGTTTTCATGTTCTTAAAGGGTGAAATGATTCTGGCTCACTGTCACCCTTCATCTAGACGAGGACAGAATAGCCAGGTGCAGGGTGTCATGTTGTGGAATATTAGTTGAAGATGTGTTACGTTAGTTTATACTGTGGAATATTTGTTTAATGATGCAAAGATGTGCTGCATTTGTTTAACTCTGTGAAGCTGTGTTACTTTGCCTGCCTAAAACATTGGTCTAAGAAAGAGCTGAATGGCCAATAGCTGGGCAGGAGACGGACAAGCGGGGCTGGCAGGCAGAGAGAATAAATAGAAAGAAAAAAAGAGAGAAAAGGAGAATGCAAGGGGCCAGCCACCCAGCCAGACTCAGAATAAGAAGGAAAGAAAAGATACACAGAAATAGGGTAAAAGTTCTGAGGCAAAGGTAGATGGGATAATTTAAGAAAAGCTGGCTAGAAACAAACCAAGCTAAGGCCAGCCACTTTTAAGTAATAATAAGCCTCCGTGTGTTTATTTGAGAGCTGGGTGGTAGGTCCCCAAAGAGCAAAGAGTTTAAAAAAGAAGAAGAAAAAAAAAACCAAAAACAAAAAAACCAGCTACAGCACCTGGAAATGCCTTCTCAGCCTCCACACACAGCACCCCATTCCACTATTCCCAGTTGTTCGTTATACTGCCATCAAAGCGGAGTGGACTCACACTGCTGGACGCTTCAGAAAAGATGTTCCACACCTGCTCCAGAATAGCATCACTGTGCACTTTCAGGCTGTTCCTCATCCAGTTCTGTAGATATAGAAAGAAAGCTGCTATCCCTTGACAGGTCACTGATGGGGCACACCCCAAATTGGGAATGTCATTTAAATCCATACCTGAAACTTAGCCTTTTTTCTGGGAACATTGTCAAAAGCACTGATTTGCTGCAGAAGTTCTCGAACTTTAGGGCTGACATTGGGTTTCTTTATTAATTCATTAATTTTCTATTAAAAAAAAGAATAAACAATAGACATATTGGTACAGCCAAAGGGCTCTCATCTTTGAAGCCAAGATTCTATATTTGCATCTATGTATAACGACAAATATTCCTATTCCACACAGCACTGAAGGGCTGCCCAAAGCTATTAGGCAAGAAAAAGAAGCCAAAGCCTTCCTAACAAAAGGGACAAAATCGGGTCAAATATTCACAGGTAGCACTGGAAGGAATGCGGCCGCACATGCAGAACGCTCTAGAGGGGCAGCAGTCACAGCTAACCACTCACTAAGCAGAGCTACAGGATACACAATTCTGAAGAGACAAGCCGTATCTTTATATACCAACAAAAATAATGCCAAGTGTGAAAACATCAGGGAGATTTCGTTTGCAATATGAACATAAAGAATAAACTAATTAGAAAAACCACAGTCAAAGGGGTGAAAGAATTATGCACTAAACACAGTTACAAGAATCAAAGACGGCATTAATCTCATAGGCTGAGACAACATTAAGATGTCAACCTGAAAACAGCTGGCAAAGTCCAGCTGCATGTGTGATCTAATTTACAAGGAACCCTGAGAGACTCCAAACGGACAATATTGAAAAATAATAGTTTCGTGGGTTTTTTTTGTTTTGTTTTCTTGTTTTTTCCAAGACAGTGTTTCTCTGTGTAGCTTTGGAGCCTGTCCTGGAACTCGCTCTATAGACTAGGTTGGCCTCAAAGTCATAGAGTTTGCCTCTGCCTCCTGAGTGCTGGGATTAAAGGCATGTACCACCCAAATTAGTTTTTTTTTTTTTTGGTTTTTAAATTCAAAACTCACTACAAAGCTACAATGATTCAAAGAGTGTGGCACTGCCACAAAGAACACTGGAAAAATGCAGGAATAAGCCCCCGAGGATATGGCTAAAGGGTTTTCGACAAGGATGTGAAGACCACTCCATGAAAAAATGGACCCCTTTTCAACAAACAGTGCTAGAAATAGTGGAACTTCACCTGGAAATTGGACTCTTACGTTATGTTACATAAAAAAATAACCTCAAATGGATCAAAAACCAAAGCTTAAAAAGTTAAACTATAAAATCTTAGGAGGAAAAAAAAAAACCTTTCAAGAGATCTAATCTGGTAACAATTTCTTATACATGACCAGACAGACAACATTCAGGGTCAGCAGAATGGCTCAACAGGGAACGGTGCTTGTGTGGAGGTCAGAGGACAACTTGTACCAATCACTTCTCTCCTACTATGTGAGTCCTGGGGATTAAGCTCAGGTTACTGGACGTGGTGGCCAGTACCTGTATCCCACCTGAGCCATCTTGCCGGCACTCTACACATCTTCTCAACTGGGCAGCTACTAGAAGCCCTTCACAAGGGTCCTGCCAGGAGTATGAACCTTCAGAGAGCCAACACCCCAAGTTCACACTCACACTCTGCCACTCAATGGGGCAACTACTAACTTGATTTTCAAGAAAATGTAGCCTCTACAAAGGTGACATCTGTCCAGTGATCTCCCCTTTTTTCAAACTGGAGCTCACGGCTTTTGTAAATATTTTCACTTTATTTAACTAGAAAATTCCTTGCATTTGTGAAATTATTTACTTTGTTCAGACGTGACAGACTGACAGGGCCTAAGCTGTAAGCTGTACATGTTTCAGTTTCATTTTACAGCCAAAACAAAGTTAGCAGGAACCCTCAAACATTGCGAACAAAATCTATAAAAACACATCATCCAAAGGTAAATGCACCAGGATTTTATCTTTCTCAAGATGTTCTGACACTTCTGTTCTGGGACCTATCCCCGAACCCCCAGAAGGAAGCAGTTGCCGGGTGAGTGACAGGATGGATGGAGACCCTTACCTGAATCCATGCCTGCTGCTTTGCATCACCTTTGTGAGTCTTGGCTTCATAGTCTTTGCCTCCGTACTTCTGGCCTTCACTGATGCACTTCACGTGGCTTTTATAGTCGTCGCCCCTGCAGAGGAACCCAGCTCATCACTAGGCTGACAATGCACTGATGCACTTGACATGGCTTTAATAGTCATTGCCCCTGCAGAGAGACCCAGCTCATCACTAGGCTGACAATGTGCTAGTGCCTCTCATTGACAGCACGCTGCTTACTATTTGTGCCTTTCCACCTGGCAACTGCACAGACAGCCTAATTCTTAATCTAATCTTTCTACTTATTTGTTGATTTCTTCAGAGCGATGGTATCTGATAGTACCATAATAAAGGATCATCTCCCCCCTGATAACGCTCCCTCGAAAAGTCCCTTATTCTAAGTGCTCACTTCCTTGCACTGGATAATAATGGAGGTAAAATGCCAGTCAAGAAACTGAATGATCAAATTTTCTCTAAAAGTAAATATTTTTTTGATGGTGTTGGGAACTGGACCTAGGGCCTCAAGCATACCAGACAAGAGCTCTGCCACTGAACTATAAACTATCTGCTCCCAAACTGTGTGTGTACTAAGTGCCACAGAGTAAACATGGAACTGAGAGGACAATTTGGGGGAGTCATTTCTCTCTTTCACCTTGAATCCTAGGAATGGAACTTAGTGGTCCAGCTTGTAGGGCAGGTGCTTTAAAATCCGAGCCACCTTACTAGCCCCAAATTCTCTAACCAACAGAATCTTGTCCCTTTGGTCTTCACTTTCACAAGTTCTTAAAATGAAACGGTGCTGGGGGACAATGGTCTGTATCCTGTCAATTATATTTTAAATAAATGGTGATTGGCCAGTGGCCAGGCAGGAAAGTATAGGCGGGACAACCAGGCAGGAAGTAGATGTCCGACAAGAACAGGAGAATTCTGGGAAGAGGAAAGCTTGGTCCACAGTCCTGTCCCAGCCACAGAAGAAGCAAGATGTGACTGCCCTGCCGAATAAGGTACCGAGCCACATGGCTAGTATAGACAAGAACAACGGGCTAATATAAGTTATAAGAGTTACTAAGAAGACTGAGCTAATGGGCCAATCAGTTTCTGACTAATGTAGACCTCTGTGTGACTTCTTTGGGATTTAACAATTGCAGGAACAGGGCAGGACAAAAACCCTCGTACAACAAACTGGCACTCTGAGGAGTCACATCAAGTTTAGTCGATAGACTGTAAGGTTTCCTTCTTGGTCTCTGTCCTCATTTTGCGCCTCTATTCTCCCAAGCTTGCAGGGTCTGGGCTTCTATCCGTGGATCTTCAGGAATTATCAGAACTTACCAGAAGTCCTTCCCACAGTCAATACAGGAGAGACATTCACAGTTTCGGCAGGCAGACACGTGCTTTTCCACCTGCGCTTTCTTCACTGATTCACCGCACGCATTGCATGTAAAAAACACCATCTTTGGTTAAATGATTAAATGTTCTATCAGAGACTGGTTTGAACTCTTGCCCTAAAAAACAAAACAAGGTAAAGATAATTATAATAATCAGAACCGTCTCCCAGTAAATGAATTCCACAGTACAAGAGCAGGCTCAAAGCTTGCCAGTAGTCTCAGAAGTAACCTACCACTAGTGTCAGAAAAACGTGCTCAGCACAGGCCAGGAAGTGTGCTCAAGAGCTAATGTATCGAGCCCTCACAAGGGAAGGACATCACGGCTCAATGTTTCTGAGGCCACAGAGGCACAGGGAGTAAGGAACTTGCCCAGGAGAGCATAAAAGGATTTAAACCTGGAAGATTGGCAGCACAGATAAAGCTGTCACTGAAGATCTCAAGCACCCCCCCCATATAAAATGTACAAAATTAAAGTGGTAAAGAGTACCACAGTGCAGGTGTGCAGTGCGGATTGCTCTGTGACTGCAACAGCAACAAAGCAAGGGGGCAAGCAGCAGAGCTTAGCAAGTGGAGAAGCCAAAGAACAATTCCAAAAAAGACTAAAACTTATTCCTACAAGCACAATGATGAAGTCACAATTGTTAAAATGAGGACATTCCCTTGGCCTCAGTGGACGGGGACAAACGAACACATTCCTTTAGGACTTAAAACACATGAGGCAGGAAGAAAGAAACGCATCACAGGCGCTCCCAAACACAGGTGTGCCAGCCTTCCTCTGTGCACTCAGCATGGAGACCATCTGCACACACAGCCAGTTCATGTTGCATGCACGCTACTGTACGCTCAGGAGTATGCTCGGTGTCACAACTGCCACAGTAACTTTCCATGCTTACAGAGCCTTTTAATCACTGTACTCTAAGAAAGCAGTGCTGCTCTTAATAAAATGGGCTTTGTTCAGTCCAAATATGGAGAGCTGCTTAACCCAGCACTTGCTTCCTCAGTATGAAACAGTGCTTGTGAGGTCATGCCAAAGCAAGATCAAGATTTTTTTTCTTCTATTGAGCCCTGAATGGAAATCTTCCTGGTGTACAAAGTCCCTCTGCCTTCTGGAGCATTGTTGGACGCTGGTTCATCTTATATGCTAGATACAAACCACCAGCCCTTGACACCAATGTCCTGTGCCTCCCTCCTTAGCTTGCAAACAGAGCTGATTAGCAAAGGAAGGCATGTGGACAGCTACAGCCTGGCACCAAAGGTCAAATGAAGTAGACAGGACCACTCCAGGCCATGTAAGTCCTGTTGTCTAGCTTGGTTTGTGCAAAGACATGTGACATAGGCCAAGCTTAGAGAGCCGGGACCATGTTTAATGTTTACCAGTCTGGCTTCTGAGATGCTTACTAGCATTTGGCACAAAACAGGCAGGCAGCGGTTCTGCTGCACTAGTGAGAAAACACAGGAATAAGAGCCTACACATTTATATAAGAACAAGACAAGAGTCACTGATTAGATACCAAGAGACAAACTGCTATCATAGCACAGGGAGCAGCTGCTGTGCAACTAGCTAAAGGAGCCACTAAAAAATCAGAAAGCACTTCCACAATGAGGCAGACGAAGAAAACGCCCCTCCAACGTTACATGGCTTAGAGCTTTCCAACCTCCTCCACTGAGGACTGCTGTTTTTGGCCAAAAGAAGAGACAGCAGGCTTCAGCAAACCTTGAGATCCATGGGTCTGTTGGTTGGGAAACACCAGAATTAAAAGCCCAAGAAGGATACTGAAAACAAGATACAGGAAGTGACAGAGATGGTGTGTCAAAAAAAATATGCACACAGCATCTATATAGAACAGGTCCCTATGGTCAGGGCACAGTGTGCACATCGAGTCAGGTGAAGGTTGGAATCAGGTCATATGTCCAACTGAAACATCAGTCTGGAGCCATGCTCAACTGCTTTTCTATTTGACAGGAAAGGGGAAACAGTGTATCCACCTGCTAGGCTAATGAGATAAGATTGTAAGGAGCTTTTTTTTTTTTTTTTTTTGGTTTTTTTCGAGACAGGGTTTCTCTGTAGCTTTGGAGCCTGTCCTGGAACTAGCTCTTGTAGACTTATTCATGATCCAGGAAGGACAGTCCAGCCCCAGGGTCACCTTGGCTGTGAAGCACGTCCTGTTGGACTTGCTAAGAGTCAGAATCACAAAAGCCAGTTTAACAGTGTCACAAATGTGAAGGCTACTAGCGGAAGCCTGGGGTAAGTGCAGCCCGTGCTTTCTTTCCAGTGCTGTGAGATATATACATATTATTATGTATATATGTCTTACCCCTGTGAATGTGCCTAGTACTCACAGAGGTCAGAAGAAGGCGTTGGATCTCTTGGATTTTGGGTATTGGGAATTGAACCCAGCCCCTCTGAAGGAGCAATGAGTACTTTTTTGAGATAGGGTTTCTTTGTAGCTTTGGATCCTGTCCTGGAACTTGCTCTGTAGACCAGGCTGGTCTCGAACTCACATAGATCCACCCGCCTCTGCCTCCCAACTGCTGAGATTAAAGGCGTGCCATCACCACTACAACCGGGAGAACGGGCCAGAGCAGCGAGTACTCTTAATTACCACGTCTGTAGCCCCCTAAACTTCATCTGGGAGTTTTGAAGGGTAGCTGGTTAGTGAGCCGGAGGATTCATCACCACACACTGCTTTTTAAACCTGGGTTCTGAGCAAGAGAATTCAGATCCTCATGCTTGAATGGACCATCTCCCTGTTCTCAGCATACTTTTTTACTTATGCACACATCATGCTGACTAGATTTGCCCTAAAAACAGCAATTTTCCTTTTTTTTTTTTTTTGAGACACAGTTTCTCTGTAGCTTTGGATCCTGTCCTGGAACTCACTCTGTAGAGCAGGCTGGCCTTGAACTCAGAGATCCTTCTGTCTCTGCCTCCCCAGTGCTGGCTGGGATTAAAGGGGTGTGCCACCACCACCACCCAGCTAAAACAGCACATTTTAAAGGCCAGGCTGGCAACTCCAGCACAAGACCCAGTGAGCAAGTCACAGCTCCCTTTAAGCTTCAAGTTCTCCCGACCCATGAAACAGGGAGTCAACCCACTATACTAGACACAAGCCCCTTCCAGGAGAATTCCCAAAATTCGCAGGTGCAGTGCAAAACAAGAATAGACAGGCACACATCTCTGCCCTCCTGGGACCTGGAAGACCATGAGTGGGGCACCTGTTTCCAGTAAAGCTCAAGGAATCCAAGCTACGCCCCTGCCTTGCAGTTCGAGTCTCCCCACCACAACCTCACCTGAACGTTTTAGGCACTATGGTAGACACTACGCACCTGACCTGATTTGAGCAAGTCCCGTGTCCTAAGCCCTCAATGGCCAGAAGTTAGGCCTGCAGGCACACACAACCTTCTTACCTCTCTCTTCTAGGAGGTAGTTGCTGCAGAAAAATCCTGACTTTTTTTTTTGTTTTGTTTTGTTTTTTCGAGACAGGGCTGCTCTGTGTAACTGTCCTGGAACTTACTTCGTAGACCAGACTGGCTACGAACTCACAGAAATCCGCCTGCCTTTGCCTCCCGGGTGCTGGGATTAAAGGCGAGTGCCACCACCGCCCAGCAATTTTGACATTTTCTGAGCAACTACAACATGCCAAGTCCTTTACCCCTGTAATCTTCACATACACCCCAAGTTAGGGTCTCTAGTATCCCTTTTGGTCAGACGTAGAGCCGAGCACAAGAGGGCTTTTGTATCTAAATAGACTTTTGGGATTCGCGAGCACTTGTGGTCCGCTGGCGCTCCAGGAGCCCTCAGGTCCCTCCTCAGAACTGAGTTCTCGAGACTCAGAACAGAGTTTTCTCCCCATCAGACAGCGGGTCTGAAGCCCTGTGCGGTGGGAACCAACCATACTATTTGGACCGCCCCGACTGCCTATCTGACTTAAAACCGGGACGCAATTTCTCCCGGAGGTCGGGACTCCAGCCTTCGTTGGCGAGCAGATCCGCAAAGAAGGCGGTCATGCCGCCAAGACCCCCCCGCCCCCCTACAGGCCCCGGGCTTTAAGCTGCCGCCCTCACCTCTCAGCAGACTTCGCCAACGGTCTTAACCGACTGCCGGGAGCACGTGGAGCCGCAGCCGCCCAACGCAGAGCCGCCACCGACTCTCTCTCTCTCTCTTCCAACTCACCCGCGCAGAATTCACGCCCGGCCGGCGCGCGCCAGTGCGCAAGCGCGTCGCGGCCACACCTCCGAACGGAAGTGACGGCGACGGAAGCCGCCGATGAGCTGCAGAGGGGGCGTTGTCGGAATGGTTCCGTGGCGCTTGGAGTCCTGCAGTTGACGCAGAGGGTCTGACGGGGACGGGTAACGAGGAGGCGGCCGGTTGGGAGCGGCCTCCGAGGGTAAGGCGACCCGGGACTCTTGCTTCCCGCGAGCTGCGGGTCTGCGTGGCTGGGATGCGCTCCGGCCTGCTGACAGCGCGCTGTGGCGGGCCCGGCCGAGCACAAAGCTAGACTCCAGGCGTGGGAGCCGGGCTACCTTCCAGCCCTTGCTGCGATCTGTGCTTCTCTTGATGTCCGCGTCGCCCCAAGATAGGAAAAGCGCTTATGACCCGTCCTCATTGCCGCGCCCTGCCTCATTCTTCACGAGACCATCTGTGCCTTAGTGTCCCATCTGTAGAATGCTGTCACTTCAGCGCCTACTTCTGGGGACCTTATAGGACTAGTCAACGAGTCGGTGCAGGTCAGGTGCTGAGCGGGTATCTGCAGTTTTAGTCAGGGTTCACTAAACGTTCTCAGCCCGTAAGACTGCATTTGGTATACGGTAGTGGTCACCGTTTGCTGCTTAAATGAGTGAGTCAAACAGGCTGTGAGCCGTATTGTAAAAAACAACCCCGGGGCGAACATTTGTCGGTGGTTGCCTGTTTGTTTATTGTGGCTGCCATCGCAGGGTACAACAGCCGAGGTGGTTCAGATGAGAGAGGTTTACTTTCTCACAGTTGTGGAGGACGGAGGGTCATGAACGTGGTGTCAAGTCTGCTTGCTGTAGAGAACCGTCCCGGCTTACAGGTGGTCGGTCACCTTCTTGCTGTAGCCTCACATGATCTGTCCTCAGTGCCACTGCACCGCCAGCGTTTCTGCTTGTATCTACATCTCCTTATGTTAGGATGTCAGACTGAAACAGGGCTCATTCTAATGGGCTCTTTTAAGCCACTTGCCTTATTAAAGTCTGCTCTCACAGGTAAGCAACGTCTGTGGTTCTGAGGAATGCAATGGAATACCCCGTTTTGGTAACCTGCACTTGCAATCCCAGCGTTGGGGGTGGGGAGTGGAAATAGGTGGATCTCTGGGATCAGTGAGCCTCTCATCTCAATAAGGGACCCTGTCTCAAAGAACAAGGTGGTCAGCTCCCAGGGAACAATGCCTAGGGTTGGCTTCTGGCCTCCAGATATGTGCACCCATGCATACATAAAACATACACACACACAGAAGGGCTTTCGTTGTAGGAGCCCCTTCTAGGTTCAGATTCACTAAGGCTCCTTTTCCCTTGAGGCACCCCTCTTCATTCACGTCACCCACGCTTTTTCTTCTGTTTCTCTTTGCCTTGGTATTTCCATTGTTTGCTGTCTTTCACATTGATCTTTCTACTGTCGTATTCTTGATTTAGATTTTAGCTTGCTGAGCTAGAAGGAACCCTACTGAACACCTGTAAAGCCCCAGACACAGGTGTCAGAGCTAGAGTGATGAATGAAGCAGATGTGGGCCATGTCTTTACCTCTTAAAGACTGTTGCTTTTGCCCACTAGGTTGCTCCTCAGCAGTCCATTCTGCTGTGAACTTGTCAGTGGATCAACTCATCAAATGAGTGAGAGCCAAACAGGCCTGTGAGCAGTATTGTAAGAAACAACCCCGGGGTGAGCATTTGTCGGTGACAGGGAGGTTGCTCTGTTTGTTTATTGTGGCTGCCATCGCAGGGTACAACATCCGAGGTGGTTCGGATGAGAGAGATTTACTTTCTCACAGTTATGGGGGAAATTCACACCCTCATGGTCCAGCTACCTCACATTTGAGCTCCGCTGCACTGAGGACTAAACCTTAACTCTGTCATCTTTGGGAAATAGTTCATATCCAAACTACATCAGGGTTCAGAGGCACTGTTAAAAGAATCTCTGAGATTGACTTTGTGGGTGTGACTTTGTCTGCAGTGTTTTTGCCCTAAATGTGAAATAAAGAAAACCCATGACTCGTTTGATGCTTAGTGTGGGAGGGTCTCTGCAGGCTTTACTGCAGGCAGGGAAAACAATCAGGGTGTGTAGATGGAGTTTGCTTTGGGCTGCCAGTCCACAAAAAATACCGTGGAAGCTTGTTATTAATTATGAAAGCTTGGCCTTAGCTTAGGCTTGTTTCTGCCTAGCTCTTATAACTTAAATTAACTCATTTCCATTAATCTATGTGCTGTCCCGTGGCTCGTGGCTTTTAATGCTCCTCTTGTATGTCCTGCTTCCTCTGTACTGTATTAAGCCAATCAGAAGGCGCTGTGGCAAAGACGCATCTTCACATTGTACAAAAAGATTATTCTACAGCAAGGGTGAGGGAAGAATGAAGCTTGGATCAGCCTGATTTTTGTAGCTGGGGCCTGGGCCAGGACTTCTAGATTCTGACCCAGATCATTTTACTTTAGCCATATTTAAGCACAGCCCAATTTTGGGGAAAATTTTTTTCTAATAATAATTAACTCTGTCCCAAGTGCACAATAATTTTAAGACATGTTTACATTGAGATTCTTTTTTAAATTTTATTTATTTTTATTTTTTGAGATGGGGTTTCTCTGTGTAATAGACCTGGCTATTCTTGAACTCACAGAGATCCACCTGCCTCTGCCTCCTGAGTGCTGAGATTAAAGGTGTGTGCCACCACAAACTGGCACATTGAAATTCTTTACAAAGTAATCTGGTTTCTTTCACAAAGATGGGTACTGTTGATTCAGAGATAGTGCCCAAGATTTAGGGTCTAGGGAGATTGACTGAGGTAAATATAATTCCTGTGGATGTCAGGATTGACCTGGCTCTAAGATTCATAGAAGTCACTTAGGCTGTTGTACAAATGACATCTCTCACGGGGATGAGTTTTATGGCCTAGAAGTGATGCTCAAAGTTTTAAGGGGAAAGAATCTGGGATAAGTAAAACATGAACTCCAAAACATATGGGCAGGGCCTGGCTCAACAGGGAGCAATGTTTACCAGGTTGTAAACTACATTTCCCCGCAGCGTTCCAGGAAAGCAGCTAAACACCTCATTCCATTGAAGAGGTAAGCTGCGTGTTTAACTTTCCTGGCTTCTCCAGTGCTTAACTGTGTGCGCAAGGCCTTTTTGTCCTCCACCGTCTAGTGCACCAGATTGCCATTTAGACCCTCAATGTCCTCCCAGCCTCTCCCACTGTGTCTGGATGCCAGAGGCTGCACTGATTCAGGTGCATGCTCCCGCCCCCACTTCTAGCTGTAATTGTTTGATTAGCTGTGCACTGGCCTCACTAGAATTGAAGCTTCCAGGACCCCTGGTGTTGCTGTACTCACTGTTGTTGCCCTAGACTGTAGTGTGTAGTAGTCACTCACTAGGTAGATGGGGAATGACCAGATCTTCTGTGTCCACACGGGAGCCTCTTGTCTCTTTCCCAGTCAGTCAGTTGTCCTAATGAGGCTCAGTGTCATCTGTCCTCTGCCTCTCTGATCTGCCATCTACTATTCAGCCATACTCTGAAGCCCAGCAAGTTCCTGGAGATTCCCACACCTGCAGGTCACAGATGCTGGGATCATGCACACCCCATTCTCTTGCTTCCTCTTTGCCTGTGAGAGGCCCAGAGGCACACCTACATGGACGTGGTGTTTTGTGACACTGGTTTGCTCTCCTTGTGGTCATGGTAGTTATTTTAACTTGTATCTTACCTCCCCTAATAGGCTCCTGATTTTCTCGAGCTTTGAATTCTCGAGCTGTGTATTTGTTACTATAACAAAATATCTGGTACTAGCAACTTAAGGAAGGGTTTACTTTGACTTGTAGTCTGAGGATGCAGTCCATCATGGAGGGAGGCTTGGTGACAGGAGCGGGAAGCAGTTGGTCACATTACATCTGCAGCCAGGGAGCAGGAAGATGGATGCTACTGCTTGGCTGCTTTCTGTCTTTTGTTCAATATGGGATCCCAGCCTATAGGATGATGTCATCCACATTTAGGGTGAGTCTTCTCTGCTCACTTAAGCCTTTCTGGAAGTGCACTAAGAGGAGAACATCCCTGGGATTCTCAGTCCCGTGAAGTTGAAGGTCAAGATTAATCATCACAAGGTGTTTAATAAGTGTGGGTTTGGTCTTAGCTGGTTGGTTTTTTTTTTCCTTTTGTATATGTATTGTTTTTTTTTCAATTTGCATATTCATAGTTGACCATAACAAAATGCATACACTCTTACCACAGCGACCTTCTGTATTAGCAGACTCAGGTGCTTTGGGTTTCACATAACTAATGGCTTCCATAATTGGTCAGTAAGAGGAGGCATTTCCATATTGCAGAGAGGTGGGCTAAACAGCTGTGGACTAGATGCTGCCAAAACAGCTCAGAGGTGTGCGTGTTAAGCTGTAACCTTGATGCACCACACTGAAAGCTAAGAGCAGTTTTTGCATTTGGGGCCCCTTTTGTCCCAGTGGTGTCCTCGAGAGTCTCTTACCTACATTCTCTGCTGCAGGTCTCATGGTCTAGTATGGACCCTGTTGCTGTTCACAGCTGCCACCTCCTCCAGCAGCTGCGAGAGCAGCGGATCCAAGGCCTGCTTTGTGACTGCATGCTGGTGGTGAGGGGCGTCTGCTTCAAAGCACACAAGAACGTTCTGGCGGCCTTCAGCCAGTATTTCAGGTGAGTATCTCACTCTGTGTCCTTCTTGCCTGTAGAACCTGGCAGGAAAGGCCTGTGGCCACATCCCACTTTTCTCCAGAATGTTTCCGCCTTGCTCTTTGGAGTTTAAACAAAATGAGAGTTTATGGGTTTTCTTGTTTCTTTAATTACTGCCACTTTGTGTTTAGAGTAACCTGAAAGGAAAAGAGACTCTTAGCTAGAGTGTGCTGGGGATGATTGGAAAGAATTAATTTCAGTTCCTTTCCAAATAAAATGATTGAGGGATTGTGTCTGCAGTAGGGATTTTGCTGTGATAAGAAATGCAACTGGAGAATGCTGGCCGTCCTTGTGCACATCTT